ACGTTTAACCAAGAAGTTTATTTCCTATTTTAGTGAGTTGTTGAGATGTCAGTATGTCTGGTGACTATCCATTACTTCCTTCTTTTTTGCRTTTCAATTTTACCAAATTGCTACCTTGTGTATTTGACAATCAGATCTTCAGAGAAGGACCCAGTCTGACATGGTTTTYCTGGCACTGTTGTGAAGATCTTGAATAAGGTGGTTATCTCAGCCAGAATGGGAAGTTTGCTTCACCCACACACACCTGCAAGTAAGAGATTAAGGATGTAGTCTGTTGAGAGATGTGATGAAAGAAATCCATAGCTGGAATATTCTACTTGCACTTCTGCTCTACAGCTAATGTGCACACAAGAGCATGCTCTGGATTAAAATAGTTTTGCATTGGCTGTGGAGTGATCATGTGGCCGTCTACTTATTTTCCACCTACAGACCCTAAATACAGGCTACAAAACAGCACTGGATTTTTGAAGGGCTTGTGTTGGGTCCTTTTAACACTATGTGAACACAGTGCCTTGATGGATCTAGATTGTGGTATGTTCTAAATGTCATTCTCTTTGTTGCCTGTTAAACTATAGCATGAAAGTTCACTACAAAAAGCAGATTTTTTTTACCCTTGGAGAATTTCAGAGGTGTAGTCTTTGATTTTTGACACTTGTGTATTGCTTTGCTCTGCAGTTAGCCATTGGAGACTCAGCTGGCAGAGTCTACTCAGGTTGTGAAATTCAACCAGAGTGGCATAAAATCCAAAATTCATTTCCCCGTTTGTGCAGCAGATTAGGGGCAGATTCTCTCTGCACAGTTTAACACTACTGCAGTGGAAGTGTTTCCTGGGTTTAAGTTTCATGAGAGCAGAGTAAGACCCTTGAAAACATAGCATCGATGGAAGTTGAAAGGTGAATAATGATTTTATTGTTTCAGACTCTTTGTGTTTCACTGGGAACRTTCTGTGAAAGAGGAAACCTTCATCAAAGAGATGCACAGGTCTTCTTGCATTGTTTTCTTGAGCTGAGTTTCTCAGACATAAACGGCTTTCTGCACTTGCACAGAGAAGGTGTAAATTGCATTTCACACTTCTGCCTAGGAATTGGGAACGTGTAACCTGCGTGTACTGTTGGTTAGAGAAACATTAGAAGAGAGGGGTCAGGACTGTAGAGTGTTAGTCCAGGCTGGCACTGATTGATGATATGGCTTGGAGTAAATTATCTTACCTCCACACCTTGAATCTTCAATCTAAAATATAAATATCTCTCCTCGAAGTATGGGTTTGAAACGTAATTAAAGCTTGTAAGCTGTAAATGTATCTTTGGAATAAAAGCACTGCATAATTTCCAGTAAATAATCCACAACCCTTCAAAAGCACCAAGATGTAGAAATAATTCCTTGAATATAAGTAGCTGTCACACAGCCTGCACAAAAGCTGGAAGAATGTGTGGGTACCAGGGACAGTGTAATAGAGTTTATATATGTATTTTTTTTAATTAAGTAAATTTTTTAAAGTAATAATTAATGTTTTCTTGGGAAGGATCTGTTTTGATGCTTTAAATGCTGTAAGTAGAGACGAATGAACAAGAAAGATCGGTCTTACCATGGCACATGGGTTATGTGGATAACTAGAAATTAATCCCTTTTGCCACTGAATTATTTTAATCCTGCTTTTCATTTTAGGTTCAGAGTGCTACAGGAACTGATTTATCAGCAAGTTGGGATGTTGGGGTTTCTTTCCTTTATGGTTCCATGTATTTCCTGAAAGGACACACTGCATGATCCAGTGTCCTTCTTCAAGTGATCCCTTGCATACAACCTTTCTGTTTGTCTGAGTGATGTAGTAGTGTTGCTGCATCATAATTCAGAGAGTTTGGGGAAACACAACCAAAAGTCAGTACCAATAACACTGCTGTCRCAAGCTGAATCAGTTACTGAATTCTGAGTGATGATTTCATTATACAGAGCTGTGATGTTCTTCAGAGGAAAGTTTGAGTCACAGAATCCTATTTAAGGGGTCTTCTGGCCTGAATAGTCCTATKGAAACCTTTCAGTGAGTGATGAAATGCTGCACAGACTGGTCATGATTGAAGTGAATTTCATACGCAGGACAAGAGAACAAGTTGTCTCTTCGGGGCTATTTTCAGAAGAGACCATCTTCGGTGTTTTCCTTTTTCACAAACTTTTGTTGATTCTTGAAGGGAATATGTGCGATGTGTGTGTGTGTGTGTGTACGTGGGAATGTTTTAAATGTGAAGCTTTTGAGGAGAGTGTTTCCTGGATAGCACACTGATTTACAAACCTGCAAAGGGTCGATGAACATGAAGGATGGGTTCCAGTGGGGGTGTCAATGTATAGGAATCCTAAGCTGTGCAACTTGTCAGTGTATTTGGGGTAGATGTAGGTACCTTAAAGACACAGAAGGGCAGGAAAAAAAGGAAACTCAGAGGAGATAAAGAAAGAAAGACAGGAGGCTAATTTTTGAGAATTGGTGAGGAAGCAAACAGGATTTTTTTAAGAAGCAATGGGAGTTGTCAGTAAGGCAGAGAGTAGGAGAAGAAAAAGAATAAAATCAGATAACTCTGCCAGCAGACCAGGATAATTAGGTAACCGTGAAAAGAAGACTTTGGGCATCAAGGAGCCTGTTGCTCTTTTTGTGCAGTAGCACTTCAAAGTGTGTTTGCTTTGAAGTTTTACGGTGTATATTTAGACAGTATCCATAGTTAACTGACATGTGATTCTGTGCATATGCATAAATGTTTCATTTCAATATAAAACTGTGGTTTGTGTTGTGGCGAAGATAAAATTCCCTGATCTTTCTCAGTCAAAACTCCTGGTTCATGTCTTTTGATGGGACTTTGTAAAGACAGGGAAGCCATACCGTGTAGTGCAGTATAAAATCTGTCCATCTTAAAAGCTTGTTGGAATAACCATGCCCATTGGAAGTTACGTATTTTAATCAGTCTTCTGGTATTCAGCACATTTATCTCTTGCTTTGAATTTACCTGTTATCTGTGCATTTTAGGTTAGCCATATCCTTGAGCAGGCTGCTTTTCTTTCATGACACTGGTGTTTTGGCTATCTCAAGGTCATGCCATTGAAACATAATAAGAAATTCAGATTTTTGAGTTTTAACATGATAATGTTCCTCTACAGTATCTACAAAACAGAACATTGAAGCAGTGAAAGCCTTGTAGTGTCCCCTGAGTGAAACAGGTTTGATCGATTTCTCATAGGCTAGCAATGACGGAAAAAGTGTACAGAGTAGTGAAGTATAAATAGCAAAATGCAATTTAAAAATTATTCTGGTCATCGAAAGCTGACCCAAGTTGTTATAAAATAGGTTCTGTAATTTTAGCCATTTGAGGCTGTACTTAAGCACCTAAATAAAAATGACCTGTTCTTCAGAGGTGCTTGAAAGCACGGGTGGGTGTAACAGAGTGACAGGATTTCATCAGGGGAATGATTTGCTCTCACAAGCAGGAGAAAGAAGATTATTTTCCCAGAACTAATCTCTGTGGTCTGGAGTGAAATAAGGTGAGCACCAGGACAGCAGGAGGGGAGGTGTTGATCTGGCTTGATGCTGATAGGAAGTTGAAGTGTACCTCAGCAGCTTARAACTAACATACTTCTGAGCCTGTACTCCTCTACTTGAGAATACACTAGTATTTTGGGATGTGAATATTTGGGCATGTAAAGTGTATGTGTTGATTTTGAATAATTTTTCTAGTCACCCTGAAATTCGTTTGAAAACAAATTATGTGGCTATATATAAAGCAATATGGTTTACATTTATCTTATACATGTTTATATAGTATCTGTATGTTTAAAAATAATATGTAAAGAGTAATGATCATCATTCTCTTTTTGGTCATTCACTGTGGGGGGAAGTTATGGTATGAATGATTATTTTCAGTAAATAGAACATGTGTGAACTGGCTGGCTGAGAAYGTCAAAGAGGCGAGTTTGGGGGGAGGCTGGAGGTCACTGTTCCAGTCTGAAGGGACATAATAGCTATGCCAACAAATGCCATTACCTGTAGGTGGGTCCCTGGTAAGGGCCTAGACTAGGAACTGTATTTGGTAGTCCTGCACCTCGCAGTGGAGGAGGAATGCTGAAGCCTGCTACGAAAGAACACTCTTCTTTGGTGGTGAAGTGCTTCTCTGCTGTTTGTTCAGCTGTCTGCCCTGGGCTGAGCAGTGTGCCTAAGTGTGTCTGTACAAGTACTTGGTTGTAAGTTAAAATCTTGTTGGCCAGAGCTGCCGTGTTGGATATAGAGCCAAGCTGAGTAGCCCAGTGAAATGTCCTGTCTGCAGGGGTCAATACCTGCGAGTTTGGTGGCATCAGCACGAGTTGGCTGAGGGAGGCTGAGCTGTGACCCGACCATGTGCGAGAGGCACGGGGCTGCTGCCAGGCTGTGTGACAGGGTCATCAGTGGCCAGAGATGGAGCCTAATTAGTGGTATGGAGATAATGCCTTTTTAGCCTCTTCTCTTTCTCTTCCWGGTAAATACATATTGTAGTTAATATTTTATTTTGCAGGAGACAGGGGCCAAGAGGTTGCTGCTCAGAAAGTAAACTGGGATGGTAAAAAGCTGAGAACTGTGTTCTTGCAGTGTAATACTTGTGTTCTGCTTATCTGTAAAGGGATCATTGTTTCTTTTTGTAGACAAAATAGTTACATTTGTACTCATAGCTGGTTTGGACTCTWAGCACATGCATTCACAGCAGAACAGCAGTTACAAACCAAAAGTGATTCAGTTGTACAAAGAATGATCTGCAGCAGCTAGGTCAGGCAGTGGCTTCTGCAAGCCATGTTATCATTGGTTGCCGTGAAAATAGTRTTGGAGTAGTGTGGCACTCGGAAGACTCGAGGCTGAGATGTCCAAGGTAAGCAGTGTACTGCATGAGCCTCTCTAGTGTTTTTTCAGTACATTGAAAAGCTTAAGTTCCACATTTTGTGCCTATATTTTTCTAATTTTTTTTTTTTAATTAAAACGTTCTGTGTTTTGTTTTTAGTTCCTTCTGGAGTGATACAAAATGGAGCTCGAGTACTGAGTAGAGGAATATTTCCTGGAGCCAGGCCATTGCCAATCAACCCTATAGGAAGCATGGCTGTCGCAGTAAGGTAAGAGTGGCTCATTGTGGGATCTGGATGAAATAAATTAGTATTTTGCAGAAGACRTAAGAGTATATGTAAGCTCTTGGTAAGCAGGTATTTTGCTCCTCCCCTCTCCCTTTTCTTAGACTTTTTCCTCGGTTAAATACCAGAGAGAAGAATGTCAATAATATTAAAGCAAATCCTGAAAGCTATTACAACATATAGCTGTCATTTTGTTATTAACTTGTGAGTCAGTTTCTTTCACTGCAGTTTTATCTCAAGGTTGTACTGAAACATTCAAGGGTAAAATATCATTTAAGATACTCAGCTATCAGGAAGCAGGGCAGTAAGAGACATCTAGTGCTGGCAGTAAGAACTGTGATTCAGTGGTTTGTTTTGCTTAAAGCAGTGCAGGTTTATTGGTGGAAGAACAATTTGCCTCTGGTGTAGCTCCATTTTCAGTCAGTCACAACGGAGATTAATTTGGTCAAGTGTACTGCCAGTGCCCTTCTCTTTCAGAACTCAGTATCTGCAAAAGCTATTTCAGCTTAGGCAATTGGGTATTCTGGGTGGGGTTTCATAATTAGTGCTGACCCCACTTTACTGGGCTGTTCCAATTAGACTCTTTTTTTCTCAGGAAAGGGCTGCAAGGCAGTAAAATGAAGTATCTTGGTAGGTCTTATTCCATTACTATTTACTTAGGTTTGGGAGGTTTTTTATCCCTTTTCAGAATCAGTGTCTAGCCCTTTGGATGCAGTATTTCCACCGAGTAAATGGAGAGAGAGACAGAAAGAGCCTGTGACATTCACGTACTCTTGATGCTTAAAATGCGTAGAGGGGGAGAYGCTAATTGGAATAAAATCCATGTTCTCTGATGAGCACTTTTTTCAGCTGTTTTTCCCATTTGCTGCACTGAAGGGATGCCACCCCAAGGGTCATCCTCCAGAACTGTGCAGAGTTGCTCTGTGTCTCTCTTTACCTCAGCCTGGCCTTGCTAACAGCAGGGATCAGCTCTCTCCATCAGCTTTGCCGCTGGCTTCACCCAGGACTTGTATTCTGCTCCAGTGGGGATTGCAGAGCTGTGGGACTACTGCATCATTAATTATATATAATTTTTAGAAGGTGTTCAAGCTAAATGGAGGACATGGTGGTCTGAATATTCTCTCTAGAGTTCATCTGCATTTCCTGCTTAGTCTCTGTTTCATAATCAGAGTTGACTCATGGAGGAGATAAAACTGTTTTACTTACAGGCCACTTGAAAACTTCTTTTGGTGTAGGCATTCTCAAATTACTATACTAAAGCTGTATATAGTTAAATTTTATGTTTTCAAAGGACTGTTTCTCATGTTTTTTTCCCAGCAGGTAGAGAACAGGATCTTTACCAGCTACCTGTTAATGTAGAGTTGGGAAATTAGGGATTTTACCCCTCCCTTGCTTATGTTCTTTTTGCTCTGTCACATAGAAAAGCTTTTATAATTAGTTAACTCAGACATTTCTAATTCTTTTTGTTCTCTTCTCCAGCCTTAGGCAGTATTAGAAATAGCTTAYTATGAATATATTCCTGGTGTGCATAATGTCTGCTCATATTTAAAATCTCCTGCAATATCCCTTCTTCTAATTCTTGAAAGGCAGAGGGAGGCACAGACAAGAGGCTTTGAAAGCTTTTGAGAAGTTAGGGGACTCTCTTCAACAGAACAAGTTCAGCAGGCAGTTTTGTCTTGTTTCCCTCAGGGATAATACGATTCAGAATTTCTTTAGGAAGAAGATCAATCTGGATTCACAATGCCTTAGAACATCATCTGTTCTTCTCAAAACTGGATACTTCTGTTATCAGTTCCTGTGAAAATTACACCATTTCTTGGTGCCARCCCCTCTTCTCAGATACACAGGGCTAAATAGGACCTGTCATGTTGAGCTTTCATGGCATCTCATGAGAATAACTTCTGCTTATAATGTGCAGCAGGGGGAATTTACCACAGCATCCATGCAGCCCTCTTTCACAGTTAAAGAGTGGGAGGACTGCTCAGATTGAGCTGTCATTCCTGCATAGGGGACGATGTTCCAGTCAGGCTGGCAGGAAATGTTTTCAGACCTGTTTAGGTGCAGGAAAGTTGATTTTCCCTTCTGGTTTTTACCAGGAGGGAGGTCTGGGCGGCCATGGGAGGTGGTACGGTCTCCTGTTTTCTGCAGAAATTGTGTGCCTCTGCCTATATATTGAGAAGCCAGACAGCTTCTTTCTAARACATTTTTAATGTGTATTTTAAATGTGTGTTTTTTTGAGAAATGTTTCTTTGSTGCTGTAAATGAGAGGTCTAAATCCACTTAAAGAAGCTTGTTTTTCATCACTCACATAGGGRACCACAAGCATTTTCTTGGTAGCAGATCATTGCATAATAAATTAAAACTTTTAACTGTTTTTTTTTTAGTTACCTTGTGTAGGAATCTGTAATGTGCTGGACTTCTGTTGACACTTCCTTACTGTCTGAGCTGTTTATTTCATTTTGTGTCTTATTTCATCAATATCTTAATGGTCTTTGGTTTTGCTGTCCTCCAAGCTGGTGCAAATAACTTGCAGTATGCTCTCCGCTTGTGCATCGCCATTAGTGCCAAAGTACAAGAACAAAAAGTTTAGTCTTGGGTTAAATTTGCAGTTGTAATTAAGGGGGATTTTGACTAATCTGTTATTCAGAAAGGAAGCCAAAAGTATAACATTGGACTAAGAAGCTGAAATTTCTTATATGTTAGCTCCCATCAACAGGAAAGTTTACTGTTCTATTTATCTTAAGCAGTGTGACCAAATCCACTGGCATTTTGTTTCTGCACAAGGTATCAATGTGTTGCTCTTTCCTTGTAATTACATGTAAATGCTTTATATTTTATATGTAAAATAAATTACGGTTGAATTAAGTACTTTAGGGTTAAAAAAAAAACCCTCCTGAAAAGTATTTAACAAACATGACTTACAATGAATAAAAAATTGCCATTGAGATCATCATTATTTTGTAGTGCATTTGGCTTAAATTGCACAAATAGGCCTTTCATTCCAAATAATCTACAAATGGAAAGGCATCCCACACATTTTTACTTTGAAAATAATCCTCTGGTGTTCAGTCTCCACAGCAGAGCATAATTGGATGTGTTTTGACAGTAGCTTTTTATTTACTTTATTCACACCACTTTTAGCTTGTTTACCATCCATATTTTCCGTGTTGTGGCTGTCAAGTCTAAGACCCACCCAAAGACAGCAGGGAAAAATAACGCTTCAAAGCTGCACAGCGTGTAGCATGTCTCTAACATGAGATCCATCRTATTTTGGGGATATTTTTGGCAGACCATATCCCCATATAGTTCCCTGAGAGAATCTAAAAGCAAATGCAGTGATAATTTGGATATGTAGAAAAGAAAATACTGACTGACAGAGGTATTCAATGAAAGCAGGCAAAGTCAGTAGTTCCTTACATGCAGCAAGGAGTTGCGTGTGAAAGTGAGCTCTTGCTCTTGCTATCATCCATTGGAAAATATCTTTTAAATGTTTTCCTAGGAGGGTTTCTGAGGTTGCTTTAGTAGGGACAGTCTCTGCCCAAGTGCCCAGTGCATATTACATCATGTGTCTTGGCAAGGTGCATGAAGCTCTTACCATATATAATCACCTTCCACAGGAGTCAGGTATTACCTGTTACATCAACCCTTGGGAGGAGCACAAGCTTGGGAGTTGATCTGACATTTCAGACTACAGTACATCCCGCAGACAGCCTCCACCATGATGTTAGTGATTTTCTCCAGTTACCGGAGTGTGTGGGTTGTTTATGATTTATATCCAAGTCTTACTGCCATGCGGTAGAATGGGAGCCTCAGCCTCATCTGCTTTTGATGTGGACAGGTCCACTSAGGTGAGACTGGTGGAAATTCACCCCACAGAGAATCTCACCACCTGCTCAGCATAGGCCTTGTAATTTGATTCAGGTTATTTTGCAGAAGATGTTTTACAAAATATCCTTGATAATATTTTTAAAAAAAAAAGCTTCAGGTAATTGGTTAGATTACTTTTGGTAGTGTTAGAAATACCTTGGGTTTTAAGTTACTGTAAGTTAAAAGTAAAAATGGATGGGAAATTACAAGGGGTTTTCCCATTTCATCCAATTCTTCTTCACCAAGCATTTGTAGTTTCTTTGTCCTGGTTTTAGTTGGGGTCACATTAGTTTTCTTCCTAGTAGCCAGTCCAGAGCTGTGTGTTGAATTTAGTAAGAGAACAGTGTTGATAATAGGCTGGTGGTTTAGTTGCTGAGCAGCAYTTGTTCCAAGTCAAGGGCTTTTCAGTTTCCCATGCTCTGCACATGCAGGTGCACAAGAAGCTGAGAGGAGCAGGGGCAGGACAGGAGCTGAACTGGCCAAAGGGACATTCCATGCCATAGAGCATCATGCCCTGTACATAAACTGGCAGAGTCGGCCAGGAGGAGCTGATCACTCCTGAGGGATGAATTGAGTTGTGAGCAATTGTATTCTGTATCCCTTGACTTTCTAGTGTTTTATTCCTCTCTTTTTGTTAATGCTTTTTTCATCACCTTCGTCATCATTGCTGTTGTTACTGGTTTTGTTGTTATTCACTATATTTCAAAGTGTTCTTATCTCAACCCATGGTTAACTTTTTCTGATTCTCCTCCAATCCCATCAAGCAGCTGCTTGGTTCATAGTTGCTGGCTGGGGTTAAATACGCTTTCTCAAGGAATGTCACAATCACCTGTAAATTGCAAACAAGCTTCCCAGAAGATTTCCCTTAGTAAAAAAAAATACTTCTTATTCAAGTTTCCAAGATGCAATTTTTCTTCTTCATAAGGAAAGTAAGTGCACCTGCACTGGCAGAGCTTCTTTTGATCAAGCTCTTTCTTGATTTTGAGGGATCAAAAAARTCTAAAAACCCTCAGAAAAACAACAAAACACCCCAAAATGCAACACTAACAAACCTTACCTACTTCATCATGTGTAGATTTTAAAATACCTGTTCTTGTGCTGTTAATGCCACAGTTTCTTATGCAGCTCCTGATCATTGGGGCATGACAAGAATGAGTTTAGTGCTTAAYTTTATTTGAAGATGGAAAACAGTTATTTAGGATTATTTTCACTTTAAATTTGTAGGGTAATTACTAGATTATTCCTTGGGTATAGCTTTTATTATTGTGACTGTATTTCTCATGCTGGTTTTATTTTTGCTTCTATTTTCCCCCCTTGAAGCAGCCATTCAAGCAGTGAATAAAYAGACCAAACACAAGAAGCATGTACAGAGTAGTTGCCAAAGCATAAGTACAATTATTATCATYCACTTACATTATCTGTGAATGATTATTTTTGCTTAGATAAAGGACTTGGTAGGTATTTCCTTTCATAAATTCTTAATTGTATTTTCATAGTGCTGATCACTGGTGTGATCAGCTTAACAAACCCCAACTCATCCTTRTTGCATTGCATTCCCCTCCTCCCCACCTTAACAGGCAGGATGAGTTATCCTTGGGAGCTGAAGGCATGCTTTAGTAACTAAAGGACAATAACACTGACTGACTTGATTATTCTTTCTTTGCAAAATGCACAGGGCTCCATTTGTCTTAACTTCAGATCTGCTGTTGATACTGCTGGCAGTTCATGAATCATATTTACTGTGGTCCTTTGCATACAATTTTCCCTGAAGTACCTTTGTAAGAGCTTTTGTCACTAGTGTGAGCGACTCGTTGTTGACTTTTAATTCGGTAACCCTTGACAGAATCTCATTGTACGGCAAGTGARCACCACTTACTTTTCATATGCTTGCTCATCCTTCTTCCTGCTGGTCTGTAGTGGTTCTAAGAAGCACTTCAACTAGCTGTAGCCAAAAGTTCTGACTGTCTTGAGTTTCCCTTTGAAATAAAAAAAAAAGTAATTTTTTTTTAGCGAGCCTGGAACATTTCAAAATTTACAAACCCAGCTTACCTGTACTGCTTTCTTTGTATCTAACTGTGTGTTTCCAGTTACATACAAAAATTGTCATAGTGGGTACACACTATCTGTCATCAAGAAGGATTAGAGGTAGATTAAGGTGATATTTAAACTCCACATAGGTTTTCTTTGTTCATCAAAGGAATATACCTGTCTCAAGTGTGGAATATAGTAAGTATTTTTCAGAAAAACCTTTGCCATTTTGCAAGCAGAATGTGATTACATATCTTTCTTTCAAGCTAGCAGAGAAATTTAAGGAAGATATATCTGTCCTTGGTAAAATGACAGACTTTTGTCCCATCCTGAGGAAGATATCTTTGAAAGGCAGAGGTACTAACACTGTATAAAGGACRTGATTTCCTTACTAACTTGAGACCCAGCTGCTGTGAGTCCCATCTGGCTTCTGATGACATTAGTATCTGAATTCAAATCCATTAAAAATGAGAATGAAGTCAGACTTTCAGAAGTCCAGACTTACATCTGCACTGCTTGAGGATTGTGTCATTGTGCTATAACCAAGTGGAAATGTTCTAAAAAGGGTCTGTGCACATTGCTTTATGCTCAGATCCCTCAAGCAAATAAGATAGTCCATGTGTGTAGGATGAAAAGCTCTAGAGATGTCCCATGGATTTCCTGAAAGAGCAAGCCACTGCTTTAAAACATGAAAATATGTCAGTTTCTGAAAAATTGGAAATAAAGTTCTGAACAAAAAAGGGGGGAAATGAGGTATTACTCAAAATAAATTTCCCCTCATTGTTATGGTAAGCACAGATTTCCCCTCTGTAATTTAAAAATACTCCCAACATCACAGCAAGCACATGTTAATCTATTATTGTTTCAGTAACAAAGTGAGAGTTACAGCCGGAACAGTGAGCAAAAGTAGATTGAGCTAGCCAAAATCTGTCTCCTGAAACCTGAGACTTCTGGTGGTCTAGATTCAATTAAGTAGAAAACAGGTTCATTTCAGAATSAGTATGATTGTGTAAGTGCAATGTAAAGCTTGAGAATGTCTCAGAAGCAAGTGAGGTATATGAATTGTTTGGATATTCATTTATTCAACTCTTACTAATCTACTAGTATCAGTTATAAGTAATTCATCTAATGTTTGAGCTGTTGCATATTAAAATACAGATAAGATTAATTTATTTTCAGGCTACACAATTTTTGATGTGAGTATCCTAAAGCACTCTGCCTGTGTACTGTGTAACTTTTACTTTTTTGCAAATATCTTTTGCTAATTCTCTCCTTGACCTGCTTTTTCTTCCTTTTATATTTCCTCAAGCAGAACTGGTTGGAAATCTTTCAAAATGTAAGTGAAACCCAAAGGTTTTTTTCTGAGATGCAAATGCTTTCCATTTCCTGACCAGTTCCAGCATAGAAACCTTTCTTCTGAAGTGTATTGGTGTTTCCTTTCCTCCCCTTTTCTCTTTTTTTGCACCTCTCTGTGAACTTCTGTTTCTCTTTACCAGCATCTCTGTTTGTGACACGCCCTGTGGGATGCTAACCCCATAGTCGGCCTTCCCCCAGGACATCCYTCTGTACTCCCCAGGCATTTCATTCTGTTTTTTTGCTGATTTGGAAGAATTGGGAGCTGGAATAAGTTCCATRTGCAGAGTTTTTGAATCCAAATTGCAGCCCCTTTATGTAAAGGCAGCACTAGAGACTCAGGGGTAGGGCAAATCAGGGATGTTTCTTTGCCCCCTGGCTGTGCTGCTCCATAGAGCTGTGACTTTCTTTTTATTGACAATCTCTCAGTAAAATGATCTAGAGTAGATCTAAATAGCATAAAAATGGGCATCTTGGTTTAAATCCCATCTGTTAGAAGCCTTGTTCAGTGACAGTCAGTAGGAATCCCATTTGAGTTCCCACCTGTTCTGTCCTGTATTTGTTTCCTTGGACTAAGAATTGATTGTTATTTTTAATGGAAAATTATTAATGTGTGATTTTTAGTGAGCCATATTACTCTGACTTTAAGCTGCCTAGTAAAATGAAGTAACTTTAATTTTATGCTAATTTATGATAATTTTTAACATCTTTAAATGTAAATTTACCCTAAAAATGAAGAATCTGTCACTTAAAATGCATCACATGCTTCCTTGTAATGGCTGATCTTAAGGAGTTGGTTATAAATTCACCTTATAACTAGCTTAGTATGGATGATTTCTTCTTCTAAGCATTTGGCATCCTCTAATGACAACCCCTGCAGTTGCAAGCCATCACAGAGTAAATGCAGCTGGCTTGCTGCACAATCATGAATGACATTGCACTTAGTTATTAATAATTGAAGGAGCTTTGTGTATTCCTTCTGGGTTCTGTATAGAATTTATGCAGAAAATAGATCATACATCTACTCAGAAATGTAAGGGAAAGAAATTTTGTTGAGCAAAAGAGGTTGGCAAGAGGCTTTCTTTGCTAATAACTGTGCCTTCTATTCTATACATTTCGTTGAAAGCGTTGTAAATAACATTTAGGATGACCAATGAATTTGCTGCCTTCTAGCATTGTCCTGTCACTGGTTCATAAATGCAAGGGAGCTTCTTATCTCAGGGAGCTTGCAGATAAGGGCATTTAGATGAATAGGAGCTGTGGAATTATGCACCACTCTTATTTTTCCCACCTTTCAAACTTACCTTTCAGAAATGGATAATACTCCACTGTTTCTTTGTGTAAGGAAACCATACATGAGGTCCATTGCCTGAAACCTAAAGCACTTTCCATATTTTAAAGTAGAAGAGCAGTAATATTCTGGACTTGCCACTGTGCCATTCCTGTTAAGAAATACCTATACTCAGTGTGTGCATTTAAGAAAGTTTAATCCAACACTGCCACAGATGTGCAAAAGCACTCCAGTGGTAGCACAAAGATGGCAAGAGTGGGCTTTAAAACAGTTTATCATGTGATTGTTTAAACAGCCTTGCTTCTTTGTTGGATTTTTTTCAACTGGCAGAGAGTTTCAAGGCTGGTAAACTGGCAGGTGGCAGTGATGATGGCTTTACTCAGTGACAAGCATCCTTCTCTCCTTCTTTTCAGCAGGAGTAAAGCATTGCACAGGATCAGTGCTTTCTTTAGTAGTATTATAAGCATTGTATTCTGTTTTTTTAATTCAGTGGCAATGCTCTAATGCATTTCAGTCCAGAAAAAAAAGCTGTTAGTTTTTAAATGTATCATGCTGCAGTAGTGCTCACAGAACAGTGTGCCATAAAACCAGAGGAAATGACAGCTTCGAGAGCAAATCCAGATTTATTTTTTCTACTGCTTGTTTTTGAACATGTTCTAATATTTTGTTGGCAGCTAGTGGCTTAAGATTGTGTTGCTTTTAAATTATTTATTAACTGATCAGAATCAGAACTGTGACTGGACCTGGTTGCTCCTTCTCCTGGAAAGAGTCCTAAATAGAAGTTGTGTTACTTTCAGGTAAAACATCTGCGCTTGGAATGCTAAAGTTGGAAAGGGTCTTTCAGAGGAGGCAAGGAATTAYCCCAGAAAGCTATAATGTCTCTTCCCCATGCTTTTGGTAATAAAATATGACTTTATGAAAAAAAGGAGAAGATATTTATGCAACTTATCAGAGTTTATTTACCCTGTATCTAAAATAATGTAGGGTTTTTTCTTCTTAATTTTTGGAAGTGTAAACTATTAATTGAAATTTAAATCAGTACTGTTTACACATAATTTATTTTTAACCATCCCCTACTTGTTCCTGCCTCTTGTGCTGTTTTGCATCTTTTAGCTTGTTTTGTATGTCAAGTCCAATCCTCTTGCAATTAGGCTTTGAAACCAGCTTGCATGGACATTACTTTGATAGTCATAATTTCAGATTGTATTTTCAATTTATCTGTCAGCTGGCTTTATCATCTTTTGAAGCAGGTTTGCATCTGTGTGGCTTCTAAGACTGCTTCAATTTGTTTTTACAGGAATGGAATAACAAACTGCCGGATGCGGACAGAAAGTGAACAGTCCTGCGGCTCTCCAGTTGTTAGCGGTGACCCAAAGGAGGATCACAACTACAGCAGTGCCAAATCTTCCAACCACAGGAGCACATCACCTGCTAGTGACTCCGTTTCCTCTTCCTCTGCTGATGACCAGTATGAATTTGCAACTAAAGGTAGCCAAGACAGCAGTGAAGGAAGTGAGGTCAGCTTCCAGAGCCACGAGAGCCATAGCGAAACAGAAGAGGAGGACAAAAAGCAAAGTCGGAAGGAGACCAAGGATTCTTTAGCTGACAGTGGATATGCATCCCAGCACAAGAAAAGGCAACATTTAATGAAGGYGAAAAAAGTACCAAGTGACACACTGCCTCTTAAAAAGAGACGTACAGAAAAGCCCCCTGAGAGTGACGATGAGGAGATGAAAGAAGCAGCAGGATCACTCCTGCATTTAGCAGGAATTCGATCCTGTTTGAACAACATCACCAATCGGACGGCAAAGGGGCAGAAAGAGCAAAAGGAAACCACAAAAAATTAGAACAAATCAATGATTTGTTTGAACTTACAAAGTTTTGTTTCAGCACGTCAGGTGAATTCTAATGATTTGTGGCAATATCAGCAATTTTTTCCTTTTTTGTTTTTCTTCTGTTTCTTTTTGTTTTGTTTCTTTGGTTTTTCTTTTTTTTGACCCTTAAGATTTTTATTTTTAAAGGAGATTGAAGCCATAGAACTCATACTGACATTCAGCTAATTTACAAAAGCTTTTCATTACCTGAAGACAAAAAGTTAACAAAAAAAGAAAGCCAAAATCGCCATTGCTTTCTCCAGCTTGTCAAAAATGCATGGTTGAATACGCAGTGACATCAACATTAGTGTGATGGGAGTAAAATTGGGCACTTGGAAATCCCTCTTRTAGTAGAAGAGCTGTGCATAATTTAGTATTCATTCAGGCCTGGCCCTTAAGAATTTTTTAATGGCCTTACAATTGGGTTAGAAGTGAATGTGAATAAMGAGATTTGTGGGAAAGAGGAGACGCGTGCTTCTCAACCAAGAACCATGTAGTGGCACTTGGATATGTTGTGCCATACAAGTCTTTGGACAGCCACTGGTGGCAACTGTGCAAGCAGTAATGCACTTCTAATGTGTCACAAATTCTATGTGGCTCATAATGTGAAGACTGATAACTCCAAGTTTGAGGAAATTTAAACTATGTATGCAATGGGTTTCAGTGAAATWATGAAATGGGGGGGTCACTGTTAGTAGCATCATTAACCATTGAATTCTGTCTTCTATATTAAATTGAAAGATATTCAAAAAGCCATAAGCCTGAAGATTGGCACTGCGTGCAAAAAATAATAGTAATAGGGAAAAACAAACTATGTCTTCTAAACTGCCTGAGTGAAAAGCAATCAAGTCTAAGAAATTACAGTAGATAAAATGTACATCAGAATCTTTTTCTGTGGATCACATCCTTGATCTAACTAGGGAAAMAAAGCTACAAAACCTGCCATTAGTAGTATTCTGTATTTAAAAATAAAAGGAAAGCATTTTGGTGAACAGTAAAAATCAAAGTTCAACTGAAGAGCTCCTACACTGCCCTCAGAAATGAGCGTGCAGTGACCATCAGTCAGGATTCATCTGTGCAAAAGTGACAACAAATTTCCAGATTCAACCAGCATAGCCAGCAGAAGAAATTTGATCCACATTGCATGGATTCTTTAGGGAGGGGGGGAAAACAAAAAGCAAACAATTTTTTTTATTCAAAGATGACAAAGTTCTTGTAAGGTAAATAATGTATTTAGCATGAAGCATGAATTATTTTCATATAAATATAGAAAATAGAGAAAAAGGCTATGCCTCTAATTTTTAAGCCCTTAGGCTTAGAGTTTGTTTTTTTGGGGTTTTATTTTCTTTTTGTTTGTTTTGGTTTTGTTTTTGTTTTGGTTCTTTTTTGTTGTTGTTGGGGTTTTTTTGAAGCAGGTGTTTAAGGTTTAACCTTCTTCAGGGACAAACACTGACTGTTGGGGAACTTACTCTGCAATATTAAAAAATAAAATCTTCATGCTCTGGTAGGGCTTGGATGGTTGAATTATACTGCCTTGTCTGCACATTCAGCCCCCCTCTCCCTACTTCTGTTTAAAAAAAAAAAAAAAAAAAAAAAGAAAAAAGTAAAAGTGTGTCCTTTCTTCGTCTGTACATGTGTAACATGACGCAATAATCTGAGGGCAAATTTAGTAGTGAGTGTGTATGACAGAATCAAGAGAATAATGGGAGGTTAATTGAGGAAAACTCTCTGATTTGATTCAGGAATAAGTAGACAAGAAAATAGCTTTGCTAATTTGCCATGAAAAAATGAAGTAAGTTAAGAGCCTTACGGAGGTGTCTGGATAAAAAAGCAGTGTTACAGAGAGTGTGATTCAGGTACAGTGCTACTCGTCTGGTAAGGATGACTATGAGACTGAAAATCACTACAGCAGAGAGAAGTTGTGAAATAAGCAAAACAGTCTCTCTCACCTGGATTCTTGCATTTGGCATGAAAATATCTACATTTAAAATATCTTAGAGGCAAAAAGAAAATCCCAGGAGCTGACCACTTAAAAGAACAAAACGGTCGGTTTCTTAAAGAGCATGGGTTTAGATTTATCACTAACAGCTCTTTCAGGCAGCAGTTTCACCAAGATGGATCTAGTTTATGAAGAGTGAGTTACAGAAGGTTTTGGCTTCCTACTCAGTGCAGTGAGCTWAAAGTTGTATTTGGATTTGCCTGTGGTTTGTATTCAGTTAGGAGGTGGAAGGGCTGAAGGGCAGGCTGGTCTGGACCTGGCTCTGTGCTCTGCAAGCATTTKGTAAAGGACAGGGCATCACAACAAAAGAGCACCTCTCCTTCCATCTCAGCCAGYGTGTCCTGGGATCCAGGAGCTGCCTGACAGCTGCCAGAACTCTGCACAACTGCCAGCTTTGAAGATAAGGAAGGAGAGAACCATGGATAATGCTAGAAACAGCCTTGTTCCTCTCAGTTTGCAGGGTTGATTCCCAGTATTTGTTAAGTCAGGAGTACAACTAACTTTTGTTGGGTGCTTTCAGTCCTTGAGTTGGGGAAAACAGTAAGGACCAGTCCCTTGGCCAGGTAGCACAGAGGTGAATGAGCCATAACATTTCCCTTGTCTGATCAGACTGGGATAATCAGCTTCTTCCCAGATCCATACTCTCTACAGCCAAAGTCCACAGGCAGTGAACCACACAACCCTGTAGAGGAGAACTTGGTCTTCATCTTTTATAGACTTTTGGAAGAGTAATTTGAAATACAAAATAGTACAGTATCATTTTGCCACTACATTTGCTCATTAATGCATAGTTGTATCAGCTTAATATTTATCAAAAAAACAGCACTGAAAACTCTAGTGGCAGAAAATACACTCAAACCATGGCTCAGCCATCTCTGTCCTCCAGGAAAAGCAACGTGGTTTTGTGCCAGTGACCAGATTCTGTCCACAACACTAATTCCAGAGCAACTTCTGTGATTGCAGTGTCACTGCAAATGAGATCAGTATCTGCTGAAGAACAAGTACCGTTCATTAATGTGGACTCTTGGTGGCTAAATATATAATTACCAGTAGTATTACTCATCTTAGAAAACAGTCATTTTGCATAAATATCTAATTAGGCAAGTTATCTTTATACAGATATATATAGAGAAATATATATAACACCTATCTAAGATTTCAACAATTGCTCTRTATACGTGCTGGTAAAACTAAAATGTTGGCAAGCATCTATTTTCATGTAAAATTTGTTASTCCTAGTCTGATCAGCTAGGGAGGTATTCTTTGGTAGGGTTTTACAAAGTTGTGTTCAGGAACCAGCAGTTTGGGCTGCTATCAGCAGATTATTTCTGGTCTTTCAAAACAGCTTGTTCTTCTTGATGCTTGCTCTGACTGTTGGTGAGAAGTACCAATTGAATTGTGTAAAATATTTAGGAGTCACCTTTTAAACCATATTTGTGCCTGGCTGACAATGGCAAGTTTGTCAGAACTGGTTGTACTCCATCGGAGAAATTCTCTCTTTTTGTGTGAGAACTGAAATTGATTTGTTTTCCAAGAAATGCATGAGCTTTTAATTGAGTTGTCTTTAACTGAATGATGTCAGAACAGAGGGGTAATTGCACTGTATTACAAACTCTCTCACTTGCCAGATATGAGGTGGTGTGGTTTTGCTTGTTTGCTTTCCTTCTAAGCCATTTTGGGGTGAGAAGCTGTCAAATCTCTAACTTTCCATTCTTCTCACTCTATCAGTATTGCCAAATTAGTGTTTCTCCAAGACAGGTGGGGGCTAGGTCAGCAAGTATTCAGTGGCGAGATTCACATAGGTGTGAATTGTAAGGGTTGCTGGACTTCATGGCGGGTTCCTTTGGAATATGCCTTTTGCAGCAAGAAGCTCTTGCAGGCCAGAGCTAATGCCATAAGCAGATTTCACCGGCGGTCTCCAGGAAGGGAAATCTGCTGATTGTGCTTGCGTTCTGCAAGCAGTTGGATGTCCTACTGCATTTTGGTGCAGATTCTGCTTGCATTTAAAAATGTAAGCACGAGTCTTGAACAGCTTAAATGTATCGCCTCATAGCTGTTCCTGAAAGCAGTCTGCTTCTGATCTTCTCCTGGCAAAACTGGCAGTAGTTCTACTGAAATCACAGGATTTTGCAGCTGAAAAGCCAAATGTGGGAGCAAGGTAGTGTGCCCTGTAGGACTAGAGAGCAGTCCTGAGGCTGTTCTCTCTAGCAACTGAGTTTCATATTCTGGTTCCTCTCATACCTTAATGGGAGAAGGGAATCCCAAAGGAGATGCATTGGCTCCCAGCGTTCAGCTGAATTACTGTCTACCTTTGGAAAAGATACAGAAAAAGCTGGAGGCTGCATTCTTCACTGGAGTGAGGTAGAGATAAATAGACATACTTCAGCAGTGAATGAAATCCTAAATTGTACACCASATGGCACTATGGATAAAATTACCAAAACAATGCTTTGTCCTGGTTTCTTGGTAGTGGTAATCTATTTTCACTGAGGTTATAATGGCTCAGGTTGAGGTTGGCTCCTGTCCCAATCTATCTAAAGATGTAGATCATAGAAAACATTTCTCTCCTGTGCTCCAGGATCAGAATAAAACTACTGAGAGAATGCATTTCCAACGCAGTTTACTTCACTTCATGGAGAATGCACACCCAGCTCCTTCRGGCACATCACTACTGCCTGAATAGCTCATTGGCGTATTTTATAGGAAATACTTTGAAACGTTTTCTTGACTTTGCCATCAAAAGAGCATTTGAACCATGCATCCTCCTGATTGTAACAGAGTATCAGTGTTGACCGTCTGACCAGTTTTTTAGTAGTGTTCTTCACAGCCCTCCAGTAATATATCAAACACTGTTATGCACATAATGCAGCACTGTGATCTAATTTAAATAATACTTTTTTATTATTTATACTACTCTATGTAATATACATCAACACTTTGCTATATAACCTAAGTGATAACCCTCTTCTTAGTTACCTGCCAAACTCTGAATTTCTGTTTGGTTTATATTGCAATTAGCACAGTTACCAAGTTGTAATGATGTCTCTTTTCCTTTGAAATGGGATGTGTAAGTCAAACTATACATTTTGTGTGTTTCTGTTTTGAGATGAAGTTTATAAGGATTTACACACAACATTCGGTGTTCTGTATAAATCTGCATACATTTGTAAATTCATCTGTTAATCCCCTTTTATTTAGAAAGTACTAATTGATGGTGGTTTATTAGGGGTTTTTATTTTTGCATTTTTGTTTTTAGTACTGGTTATTCTTGAATTAAGCAGAGACTTGTCAGCTGGGTTGCTTTATCTTTGATCATGTACATGACCTTATAATTCTTCCACAGTTCAGCAAACAAGTACTAGCTTCACTGACCAAAAAAAACGTCTCAACCTAATGTGTCTATGGTGCTGTATTTTGCTGGTATACATTTAAAACCAGAAATGATGTAAAGGTCACTTTTGAGTTGTTCTAATAAGTCGCCTTTCCTGGTTTGGGGAGTTTGGGTTTTGTTTTAGCGTTGAAAACAAGATATATTTATCTGAAGCTATGTAATGGTTTTTCTACTGTATCACATTTCCTTTTGCAAAGAGGGAAATAYCGACCTGATATACCATCCTTTCCCAGTCAGTGGAAGGGGGTTTTGTTTCACTTTCTTATTTTCTGTGGATTTCATTAGGCTTTGGATCAGGCCAGCAGTTACAGGAGCTCATCATCCAAGGGTTTAAGGGATAAATGACAACTTGTGCTGGCCCT